GCCGGGAGCCGGCGATCCGCAACAATGTGGAGCTGCCTGGGCGCCGAGGCGAGCCGCGCTCGTTCCTCTCCCTCTCTTTCTCTCACTCGCGAGCTCCAGCCGTGGAGTCCGTGATGTCAGCCCGGGGGGAGGGGTTAGCGTTAACCCACTCCTGGCCCGACGCGCGCCGGCCCGGCCCGACTCAGCCTCCGCCCGCCCTCCAGCCCGCACCTCCTAGGCCCAGGCAAAGGCGAACGCGAGCGGCGGCTGTGGGATCCCGCTCGGGCCCCCAGATGCCCCTTGGTCGCCTTTCAGCCCTGGAGAGGGCCGGAGGGAGGGCTGCCCGCCTCGGCCGCTGACAAAGGGAGGCAGTGACCCCTAGCGGCCGGCGTCGAGGAGAAGCTGCTCGGTGGGGGTGGAGTCAAGATGTGGTGCGGGTGGGGGGACGGGCGGCCGCGGAGGCGCCGTGCGGCGCACACTGGTTCTAGCAATGTCCGAGCTGCAAGGGCTTCTGCAGCCTTCTCCTCCAACCCTGACCCATTTCACAGATGAAACAAAACCCGATGAAACAAAGGCGCCTCGTCCAGGGCAGAAAGTACCAGAGATCCAACTAGAACTCTGGAGCCAGGGCTCCCTTTCTTCGGTATCGCCCGGACAGTGACAGGGAGGCAGCTCTGAGCGGGGCCAAGCGGAAGCTGCGGAGAAGCCCGCGGAGGGCATTAGTGGTTGAGAGAGGGTACTCAGGTTTCTGGTAGCCTGTCTTTATAATCCTACCGCCGCCAGGGGCTCCTTTTCCGATAATCGAAGCACTCTCCCTTCCCCCAAAGAAAGCACGAAGCCGAGCTCTGTTCCTTTTTTCCGCACTTCTGGGCGATTTGCGGAATTTCCACGAAAGTGGCCCATCCAGTCTGTCCCAGGCAGGTCAGGGACTTCCTGTCCCATCCTGTCACCACCCACCACATCCGGGTGTGGTCGGCGTGCTGCCAAGGCCATTGGCAGCCCGAAGCCTGCCCTCTCCCCCTCCCCTCTAGACCTCCTGTCCCCATCTGTGGCCCGCGGGAGGCAGACAGACAGGATTTCCTACTAGATGGCCGAGCTGTCCCCAGAGGCCTGACCAGACAATGCTCCCTTTGCCCTTTGCCCAGCCTCCAAGCGGGCAAGAGCAGAGGGAACCAGCTTGTTTCTGATAAGATGTAAATTTTGGGCCCTGGGAGTAGGAGAAGTTGAGGGAGGAGGGGTGAGGAGTGCACCACTTTCCCACTTTAGAGTGTCTCGGAGCCAGAAGTCAAGTTCAGCACTGGAGTGAACACTCTGCCTCCCACTTGCTGACCTCATCTACATTTGACACATGTAACTGGGCCTGTTTTTGTAGCAAAACACTGGGCCAGGCTTGGGATACACAGACATAGTCCTTGCATCTGTCCTTGCCCTTAAAGAGCTGGTGGCACTGGTGGGGAGAGACACTGTGTGGTGTGGGTTTGGTGGGTCACAGGGAAAGCGTCCAGTTTAGCCTGTGCTGGGGTGGATACTGGAAGGGAGCATGGGCTGAGCGAGTCACCTTTTAGACACAAGCACAGGAGGGCAAGGTATCGGGAGGCTGGGTTTAAGGTAGGGAGGCAGCATAAGGAAAGGTCAACAGTTAGGGGTGGGGTAGGTGCCCACAAACGGTTGGTCCTAACCTCAACCTAAACTGGGGGAGGGGACAGGTCCTCAGATCTCTGGGTCATGCCAGGTAGCCACCAAGTAGCCAAGGGGGTATTAAACTGAGGAGTGGCCTGTCAAATTCAGCTTGTGGTAGCCATTTGGACAGCCAGGAATTTTTCATCTGGTTGGCAAGTGCTTTAAGGGCCAGGGCTGAACTTGAATTCCTTCCTTAGACTGTGTACCTGGCACATGGTAGGAGCTGAATGGATGGATTTGAGAGGGCAATTCCAGATACACCAATGTCTGCCAGTTTCCTGCTTTTGTTCTCCTACTCTCTCCATCCTGGGGAGCAGGGTGATTCTTGAATTAACCACTCTTAAATGGGTTTGCAGAAAGGATATTCTTTGGGGGCAGGGCATGTCTTCCTGTGGATGAGTTGGTGAAGGAGATAGCAGCGATTAGGTGGCACCATATGGCTGTGCATTCATCATCTTTAAACAAGCAGGGAAGGCTGCTGGAAGGTTACATTTGACAGAGGCCCTGAAGGACATCAGATTTGGGCCAAGGGAGGCAGAAGAGAAAGAACAGTCTGTACCAAAGCATAGAGGTGCACTGAGGTAGGAGAGGTTCTGGCTGTGTGGGAATAGCAGATAGCTGAGTTTGCTTTTGCATTCTGGGGGTGTGCAGAAGCAAGGGACAGGTAGGTGCAGCCAGATTTTGAAATGTCTGTGAGGTCTCTTCCAGTGAGTGGTGTAAAAGAAGCACAGGACTTAACATCAAGAGAGCAGGCCCTGGTCCCCTACCCTTAAGCTACGAGCCCTGGAGTCATTCTTGCTTCTTCTCTCTTCTTTAACTATTATATTCTAATTTTAAAGCAAGCCTTGTTGATTTTGCCTTCATTCTACATCTTATGTCTATGACGTTGCTTTACTTCAGCTGTTATCACCCTGTCCCTGAGTTCCCTTAGCATACAATGCCAGCTGGCAGTATAGCCAGTACACACTGAGGGAAGGGAATAAGACAATGATCTAACACATGGGACCCTGGAGCTAGACTGCCCAGACTCAAATTCTTAAACATAATCTCTGACCCTCAGTAGCTGTGTGTCCTTGCCAAATGATTTAAGTTCTATACACTCAGATTTCTCATTGGTAGATAGAGGGAACTAACAGCACCTGCCTCATGGAGTTTTTGTTAGGATTAAATGAGTTAAACATTTTACTTGGAAGATACCTGGTGTACAAGGAAAATTGTTTAAGTGTTAGTCATCGTTATTACTGTACTCTGTTTCCCCACAAACAATTTTGCTCTTTTCTGCCATAGGAATGTGTGTGTGTGTGTGTGTGTGTGTATTAAGACTTTATTTTGAAATAATTTTGTGTGTACAAAAGAGTTGCAGAGATGGTACAGAATTTCTGTATTTTCTTTATCCAATGTCCCCCAAAGTTAATATCTTGTATAACCATGACACATCTATTAAAACAAAGAAATTAGCAATATAATATTATTAGTATAACAGTACTATTAAATGGACTACATAGATTCTAGTTGGATTTATTTATTTATTTGGACTTCCCTGGGTTTTCCCCTAATGTCTATTTTATGTTTTAGACTCCATTTACATTTAGCACTGGATTATCTTCTAATGTAAATGATTGGGTGGATGTCTGAGAACCTGCCTGGCCTGCCAGACTCTGGAGCAATTGTCCAATCCTCAGCAAGGCCTAGGGGGCCCTTGCCTGCTTCTACATCCTTGTCTCTCCCTGCTTCTGGACTTGTAGGAGCTGCTGAGCTTTCTTGACATTTCAGCCACCAAACCTCCCCTGCACCCATACTGTTCTATCTGCACCAACCTTCTTCTCCTTCTACTTTTCCTTTAGGGCTTAGTTTGCATATGTCGTTTCCTCACAGTGGGCAAGGCAAGTGCCGTCTTAGATCCTCCTGTGGCCCCTTTGCATACTCACTTCAGTCATCCTGTATAATGCTTGGTTCACTCCCCACTAGCCTGGCAGCTCCCCCGGCACAGAGACCATATCAGTTTTGGCCTTTGCTATCCCGAGGATGTAGAACTTGCCTGGTGTGCTGTAAACAGTTAATGAGAGTGTGGCTTGCCTCACAACCTGTGCCACCTTCTGCCAGTCACTTTCCTTTTCTGGGCTTCAGTTTTCTTACTTGGAGATGGAGGAATTTAATGTGTTCATGAGCTTTCAAATTGTATTTTGAGACTCTTAGACTTTCTTGTCTGTTCTAGTTTTAAATATTTAATTTATAATGTTTTGGTTGATTATACTGGGGACTGAACCCATGGCCTTTGCACTGAGCTACATCCTCAGTCCTATCCTTTTTTTTTTTTTTAAATTTGGGACAAGTCATGGTGAACTTATCATTCTCCTGCTTCAACCTCCCAGGGTGCTGGATTACAGGCATGTGCCACCATACCGTCCTCCCTTAATAGAAACTGTTTTAAAGAACGTGTTGTTTTCATGCACCTTAAACATTAGCCTTCTTAACAATTCTTCTTAATAGATCTTGAATTTCTTTTTAAAAAGTTTGCTTCAAAAGTTTGAAACTCCTAATGAATTATTCATTATATATTTTATGTTGTATGGTGTTGCATGATTTTTTTCTTTTTTCTTTTCTCCCCCTCCCCCATCCCTTTTGCAGGCAATAGTGAGCCACAGAAGATTTCTGCACAGAATCCCTGATGGGGAGCTATTGGGGCCATGCATTCAGGAGGGGAATCTGGCCACAACATGGGCTGGACAGACAGTGGAGGGAGTGAGAGCGAGGAGAGGGGCTGTCATGCAAGCCAGTGAGAAAAGGATCGAATGGAGGAGGGAGAGGGAGTTGCCAACAGTGTGTGGTGCTGTGGAAAGCAAGTGGGGATCCGAGGGGGTCTCTGGAAACAGTGACCTTGGAGGGCATGGTGCTGGTGGCCTCGCAGGGACAGAACCCAGATCAAAGGGAGAGGAGGAGCACATGGAGCAGGTATGTTCTCTGTGCTTGAGAAGCTTGGCTGTAGACAGGGCCGAATGAGATGATCACAAGCTTGGAGAGGGTTAAGAAGACAGGCCAAGGGGCTTCCTTCCTCCTTTTTGGTGGGAAATCAAACACTGCTGAGCATCCTTTAGTCAGAGGGAAGGTGGTAGTGGACAGCAAAGGATTGGAAAAGCAAGTGGAAGAAGTGAAAGATGGTATAATTTATACAGCAAGCCCTGGAGAGGGGAGAGCAGTGAGACTAAGGGTGGAAGAGGGGTGGCCTGGAAAAGGAGAAGAGGCATCTGTCTCAGTCTGCGGAAGGTGGAGAGAGCAGCAGAGGTGGATGGTTTGGGGTGGAAAGCAGAGAGATTAATAACAAGGTCATTGTAGTAGAGTGGGAACTGAAGTTACCTGCAGAGAGAGACTGGAGGGTGGCTTTAAATTTCAAGGAAGGCCAAAAGAGCAGAAGAGAGGTTTGATCAGGATCTTCCAGACCCTGCAGGAAAAAAGGAGTTTGTGGAAGCTATGTGGCTTCACGGGGAAGAATCAGGACATGTGGGCATAATCTTTGGGGAAGTAGGCCCCAGTGTAATCTAGGGGAGGCTGTGTAGGGATCTGGGCTGACCAACAATGGCAGGAAGTAGCAGTCAGTTTTTGGACAGAGGCTACAGGTCCATTTATCAGGGATGCTGCCCTTGGGCTCCTTGCCCTGGCACAGAGATGAGTCCCACATTCCCTCTTGGCTCTGAGACTTGATGACTGCAGAGCTGTCTGACAGCCCACTCGAACAGCAGGTGGCTGGGCTCGCCTTTCTCATCTACCTCAGATCTGAGGCAGTGAGGAGGTGACCAAACAGAGGCCGTCCCTCTCCTCAAAGCCCTCCTTCCCTCAGCCTCCACGGGATCTTTCAGACAGGCAGCTGTTCAGCTTGGAAAAAGCCCAAAGTCAACACAATAATGACTTCCCCTCCCAGCCATATCCTAGGTCTTCTGTGTCACTCAATAATTGGCTAATAAAGCTTGCTTTGATGTGAGGGGGACCCTATGAAGAGGTCCCCAAGATGGCCCAATCTCCTGAAATCAGTTGACAGGAGAAGAAAAAGCTGTTGATGGAGTAAGATAGGTCCTCGATCTGAGATTACTTGAGGCTGAGGGCAAGAGGAGAGGAGGAGAGGAGAAAGGATCCTGGGGATTGGGGTGGGGGTATGCCCAAAGCTCAGCCAACCCCAGGATGACCCCCCTGGCTTGGGTGCCCCCTTTTTTCCCTAACCTGACAGGATACCCTCACCCCAGGCAGTGCTCCTGGGAGCAACTTGGAAAGCATAGCCCCTAATCACTGTCATCATCCCCATGGTAGCTGTGGTGATTATGATGGTGCTTCTGTATCTCACAGTGCTCAGCAACATTTAATTATTGTTATTCTTACAGAGATGGCTGCAGAGCCTCCTATTGCCATGGCTGCCATTGCTCTTGGGAATGATCTGCGAACACAGCTGCACCCCATCTCCAGGTCTGTGATCTAATGCATCAAAGTGGAGCCAAGGTGGCTGATAGGCAGCCAGCCTCTCCCTGGGCTGTGTGTCTCAGGGATCTCCATAGCTATCCAGGTTGGAACTCTGAGGAATATTGAAAGGCCCCACTCTCATCTTGAGCAACCCAATTCTCCACAAAGGGATTTGGAAGACAAGTCAGTGTACATCCTGCATCTTGTCTAATGTCCTTCCTGATATTCCTGTGAGTCGCCACATCTGAATCTGAAAGATTCTCCATGTTGGTGGGGGCAGCATTCTCGCCGTGGGGTGGGCCAGTGATGCTGACCACAGGGTTCTGTGAGGATCCGCAGGAATCTTGGATCATGGGGATAGGAAGGGACTTGGCAGAGCTTCCACCTAGAACATGCCCAACTGAAGAAGAGGTGAAAGAAAGAGGACTTCGAGGAAGAGACACTCACCCTCACTCTCTTCCCTTAGATGGTGCCCCTCCATCTCCGGCTGGGTGGGGTGTGTGATCAGGATGATTTTCAGAGTGGGTCACTCATCCAGAGAAATCAAATTTTTTTTTGCAGGGACATATGGAAGCCAAGAGATGGAAGGGAAGAGCAGAGATCTCTGGCCAGTTCAAACGCAGCAGAGAAAATACGTGCAACATATTCTTGGGAGGAGACGAGGCTGGGAGTGTGTGGAACTGTGGATCTTTGCCTTGTCAGGTGTCCGCCCTTTCCAGGAAGGATCTGATGAAAGCTCTGTCACTCTGCCCTGAAACCTGCACAAATACACAAGGCTCATGTTTGCATGACCACCTGCTGAGGCCCAGCTGGGGCCCTGAGCCAAGAGCCCCGCTGTATGAAGGCTTCTTTGGAGAGGAGGCAGCCCTGAGCCCAGGCTCTCCGTGATCTGGGCTAATGAGGGACAGTGGTGACATGGAGAATCTCAAATGAGGAAAGGCTAAATCAGTTTCTATACAGTGAAGTGGAAAGAACAAGTCATATATATATATATATATATTCTGCTTACAATCCTGTAGAAATATCCACCTATAAAGCGAGAAATGGGAAGGCAACATGGAGAAATGAAAATAATTTGTGGGTAAAGATTTTTTATTTTAATTTTATTTAAAAATTTAGTATCATTATGAGGTTGCTTTAATAGCAGATTTAATATTTTTCTATAGTATGTAAAGTGCTTTTCCTGCAGAAAGGAGCTTCTGAATTGTATTTGGTATAGGTTAATATTAATATCCTGCGTTCCTTGGGCACAGACTTCTGGGGAGAGGTGTTCCAGGAGGGTGCATGAGGGCTGAGGGAGACGTCCAAAGGGTTGAGATGAGGTGCTGCTCAGGAGACAGCCGAGCAGGGAAGGATATTGCAATCTGCTGTTAGAAGTACTAGCCTTTTGCCAACCATGAGACCTGTGACAAAAAGAGGGACAAGTTCTCCTGGATTGTCTGTGACCGAGGGGCTCCAATGATGTAGGATTTTCTGTGCTAAAGCTAGGAAGTTCCTGATAAATCAGGACCAATCAGCCACCTATTAATGAGCTTCTTGACCTTCTGAGCCTCAGTCTTCTCACTTGTAAGATGGTGCTGATGACCTCCGGGACCTTTGTATAAGCACTCTAAGAGCTCCACACTCTTCATACCTTTTGGGGATGGGTGATTATTACTTGTGGGGTGGGCTGGTGGAGGGGTCGGGGAGGGTTCTTCCCAGTCTTGAGAGCTGAGAGATCAAGACCCTGTCTGGAAGCCAGTGTGGTGCCTCATGCCTGTGATCCCAGCACTTGGGAGGTTGAGGTAGGAGGACTGCTGAGAGTTTGAGGCCAGCCTGGGCTAATTGAGTTCAAGGTCAGCCTGAACTGCATAGCGAGACCCTGTTTCAAAACAAAAAACGACAACAACAAAAGACGCTGGATGAATACCATGATTATATATGCAAGCTTAAGGCAATCAGCTTCTCACAATAAACGTGTATGGGAGCTGGGAGTATAATTCAGTGCTGGAGCACTTGGCTAACGTGGGTGAGGTCCTGAGTTTGATCCCCCGCACTGCAAAAAAAAAAAAAGAAAGTAGATCAAACCAAACCAAAACAAACAAAAAGCAAAAGGAAATATTTATGGGCCACCTGTGACCAGGTATGTGCTAGACATTGGGATAAAGCTGTGAACATCTGAGATGTGCTCTTGTTCCTGGGACCAAAGTCTACTGGGGAAGGCAAGGATCCACAGGAAGGGGTCAGAGAGGATCAGGAAATGTGTCTGAGGTAAGCAGAACCCTGAGGTGTGGGGCCTTTGAGCCAGGGATGTTGTGTTGTAGGGAAATGAGCAGAAGGAAAGGAACCTGAGGCCCAAGGCCCGGTACATGCAGGACAGAGTGGTGCAGTGGGGCTGGCCGTGCATGAGTGGAGTGTGAGAGAGGGGCCTGGGAGGTGCATGTTCCCACTGTGTGGACCTTGTACACTGCCTTATTTTTGGGTCGAATTCCTAGGGCAGCAGGAGGCTGTGGTAGGACTGGAGCAAAGCAAGCACTTTCACACCTGTCCACTCAGTAGCTCCCGTGCATATCATTAAACTCCAATACAAATGATGAGGGACTGTGCTAAAAGGGCATTCCTGACCCGGGACTGGTTTGTCCTGTGAGACCCAGGTCCTAGGACCTGACTGTGCGGCTTTGTCTGCTCTGCTCTAAGGGCCCTTGACCTAGCCTGTCTGCAGAGGGACCCTGCAACACCCAACCTGGTGCACCCATCTGCATGTTCTCCTAACAGGGGCCAGTCCGCCTGGCATAGGTCACCACAGTGTGTCTGCATGGGCTTGATGGTTGTGTGGCAGTGGCGCTCAGGGTGTGCTGGGGACTCACACAGCCCATGCAGCTGATAAATCATGAGCAGGTATATTCACCTTGCCAGGAATGAGGAGATAGGTGTGCACCTATATGTATGTGTGCACACACAGGCCTGTGCACACTCATTTAGATTCACTGATATTTATGCCTACATTTTCATTGCAACTGCAGCAAGCTCACAGAAACACTCCCTGCTACCTGAATGAGATGCATAAACATGACATTATATTCATCGCAGAGATACCGCTCCAGCACTGACACACATATGTTGTAAATGCTGTCTATACCATCTCAGATAGACGCCTGCACACCTGTGCTGGTCCACACCCCCCCTCACATCCTACAGATATGTCATGAGGATTCAAAAGGAACATCCAGATAAAGCATTTAACTCAGTGCCTGGGACATAGGACTTTGCATGATAGTTTAATAAAGTTACATATGATTATATTAAGATATTTTAATGTATGCACATATATTGACACACACATACTAGTGCACATATACACTGCCCCATATGTGCTTTTAAAAGGAGGTACAAACACAAGAACTTCACCCTTTCACAAAACTGAGGCATGCAGTCTCCTGTACACAAGCAAGCTTACCCTCAGACCCGCAGGTTGCTGTAGTTTGCTCTCCTAGTTGCACCTACGCACAATCACAACAGCAATAATAATCATAGCAAAAACAGGTTGGGTGATTGCTTTATATTTTCCCAAGGGCTTTCAAACCTGTAATCTCATTTGATCCTCACAGCAGCCCCATAGGATGGGTGGGTGGAGCCGGCATTATTGCCCCAGGTTTATGGCTGGAGAGCCAGCAGCCAGGGGGGTGAAATATGCCCACCTGGGAGGTGGCCAAGAACCCGTATCTGACTTGATAGCACATGTCCTTGGCCCTCAGATGTTAATTTGACAACCTCCAGTCCTCAGTATGGAAAGCAGTGGCTAGTGCAGGGGACTGCTAGGTTCTTGATTCTGGTCAAAACATTTTCTGGAATCAACCCTGGCTGAGAAGTGGGAATTGGAGGCTGATAAAGGGAAACCGCCATCATTAGAAATCCCATAAAGCCTCATTTACAACTCCCTGTCAGATGAAAGGAGCAACTGAATGTGTTGGAGGGAAAAGCAAATACTGATTTCCTTTAGGACAGCTCAGCCTCAGACAGCTGATCCCTGATCCCTGGAGGGCCCGGAAGTTCAGGGATGAGGATGTCCTATTCTTTCTGGGGTTTCCCCAACTCTGCACTTCCTCTCCCCTCTGTCTGTCTGGTCTGTGGATCCTTGGGCTCTGGTTCAGGGGAGGAGAGGGAAAAAAAGACAGAGGAGGGGTGTCCCTGCCCTCAGAGACCCTCTTTGCTGACACACTTACAGTGGGAACTTCCTTCTTCCACCAAGTTCTGTCTCCTGCTGCGCTGGGGCAGGAGTGCCCTGCAAATCCCCTTCACCCGGACTCAGAGCCAGTGGCTTTCAAAGGTGATCAGAGCACCCTTCAAAGGCTGGTGCCCACTAGGGAAGTAGCCTGTCCTTTGACTTCTGCGGCTGGGTCACACTGGTTTCATCATCATGGTGGGCCTTGCCTGCACAATGGGGATGGTAAGACCAAACTCATAGTGCCGTGTGAGGAGCAGAGGAGAACAGGTGTACAGAGCCCACAACACAGCTCCTGGTACAGGGCTGGGCCCATGCTGCCAGGGCTGCCCCCTGCCCTGGCAGCTTCCTGTGAAATGCCTTCACTGCCAAGGCTGGAGGGCGGCCTCCTGGGTGCGCCGGCTCTGGCTGGGAGGGAGGGAGGGGCAGGGAGGGGACATCTGTTTGACACTCTTGTCAGCATCCGTTACCTGGTGTGTATTTTCCCAGGAGCTGATTACATTACAGCATGTGTTGATAAACATTTGGAGTCGGAGAAGAGAGGAAACTGAGCAGAATTTTAAGCGGGTAGTGGTTTGGTCAGGAGATGCTGAGAAAGAGTTGTCTGGGATGAGCTGGAGGAGAAGATGAGGGACCTTGTCTGGAGGCTTCTTAGCCTGCCTGGCTCCTTTCTCTTTCGGATTTCTCTCCTCCCCTACTGCTCCAGCCCCCAGAGAGCACCTACACTTGGTCCTAGAGACAGTATATTATAGCAGAAGAGGTGTGGGGTTTGGATGTCAGCCAGTCATGAGTTCTAACCCGAGCTCTAGAGTAAAGATTCAGTGAGAAGACATTCACCATGCCTGCCACACAGAGGTCAGCCCTCCGAAAATGCTGGCTGATCTCCTCTTGTGCTCCATTTCCCTGTGCTCTGGGTGTTAGGCAACCCTCTCCTATTTCTATGTTGTACTAAGAGAAGGCACGTTCACATTCTTTCTGACAGTCTTTTCTATAGCTGGCCCTGGTTAGGACTGGGACAGGCAGCTCAGGCTGAGTGTCTGGAACACTTATATGGCAGCTGGGGCTGAGTAATTATTTGTGTAGTTATTCGCCTGCTGTTGTTCCCCCACCCTACTCCACAAACTCCTGAGGACAGGGGCTGTGTTTGCCTGGTCACATGCAATGCTCAGGGCCTGAGCAGGAACTGGCGGGAAAGAACTACTCTCAGCCATCTGATGGGTCTGGAGAAGAATGGCCAAGATAGCACATCTCAGAGTCCCTTGCTGTCTTACTGCTCCACTGTTTCAGAATCTAGAGCACTGGCTGTACCTCTCCCTTGGCTGTTGGCATAGATTTCCTTGGAAGAACACTTCTTCCGTGTGGCTCTAGTTTCTCTGAGGTTGTTCTTGAGGACAAGGACACGTAGACTTACGAGAAGGATGTGCAGCTGCCCCTCAAACTCCCTGGATGTGTGTAAAGAAATGCAAGAATGGACGTGCGAATGCTGCTGTTCTGTTCCCCTGCTCCCTCTGTGTGTGTGTGTTCCAGAAGGCACCTGCCACTGCAGCCTGCTTCCAGCTGTGCTGGGTGCCTCCTCTCCCCATGGGGTTGTCCCAAGTGGGACAAGAACAACGGGCCCAGCGCCACCTAGCGGCCAAGGGGCCCAGGAGTCGCGTGTCTCCTTTCCCAGCCTATGGGACCAGCGGACTGCCCACCTCGAACAGTCTGGAAGCTCCGGCCGCTGCCTCTGACGGTCCGGTTCCCTGCGGTCCAGAGGGTGCGGAGACTTCCAGGGAGCGTACCTCTCTTTCCAGGTTCCCGGGGTACCCCCACGACAGTGAGCTGGGTCAGACGCCTGAGGACCCACGAAGTGGCCCTCCCCCCACATTTCGTGTCCTCACTACTG